TAGCAAATGCTTACCACGATTACTTTGTGCTTTCGTGTAACTGATACCTGCCAAGATACTCAAAAACCAGTGTAAGAAATTATAGACTTGGGAGCCAAAGTGATAGATCAGCAGTTAAGAACACTTAAGGCTCTCTCAGAATCTCAGATCACAACTGCCTGGGACTCCAGTTCCAGGTGCTCCAATACTTTCTTGGCTTCCTTGGGTACTCATATGCACATGCACAGACATATACATAAAAATAAAATACATCTCAGGACAAACAAAAAAGAATTACACACTTGTCAAGTATGGTAGTACACACCTTTAATCTCAGCATTCATGAGGCAAAGGCAGATGGCTCTCTGTGAGTTCAATACCAGCCTGACCTACCTACTAAGCATGAGGCCAGCCAGAACTACATAATGAGATCCTGTCTTAAAAAAACAGACAAACAAAAAAAAACAACCAAACAAACAGAACAGAACAGAATTACAGGTTTAAGAGGAAAGTGATACACCAATACCTCCACTATCATTTATTGTTTTTACTTATTAACAATTACACCAAAAGCTTTAGTCTTACCACTTATATTTCTAAGCTTGGTCATTTAGAATTTATTACTTAAGTTTTCTGCTTAGTAATTTCTCATTTAAAATCAAGAATATTTCCTTCCTATAGACTTAAAAACCATAACTCAATTGACAAAGAAATCTTTTTACATGTAGCTTTCCCCAGCTTTCAATTTACTGATGCCACATCTATGTGTACTATTCAGATAGGAAACAAACAATTCTGTGTATTTCCTCTTGATAATCTTCACCAAAGACAATTACTTGTAACAATTACATTTACATTTTTAAGAATTATTTACTAGTGTGTGTCAGCCTGCGTGCCCACACGGGTATGTGGGGTTAGAGGACAATTTGATGGAGATGGATCTTGCTACTGTGTGGGTTCTGTCCAGCAGGCCTGCGTGGAAAGTGCTTTTACCCGCTCTCTGGCCCACAACTACATTTTTAAAGGTAGTTTGCTTTTATTCTTCTTCTTTCTTTAGTTTTTAAGAGATGGGACTGCATATGAACTGAAAATACATGTGTGTGTGTGTCTTAATGATTCTCATAAATTAACACAGCAAGCAAAACTCAGATAAGAAAATGTCAATAATATGTAGTCATAGCTATATTTTATTTTGGTAATTTTCAGTATAACTATTCTAATTAAACTTTAGGCTTTATTGTCAATTATTTTATATTGTATACTGTACATGGACATTAAATCCATTCATCAAACAATTATTTCTTGAAGACCTACTATTCCTTGTATGACATAAATCAACGATAATAATGCAATGCAATATACAGTTCTGGTAGATAAGTCAATAAATAACATAACCTCTAGGCTTCCATAGAGCTTTTATTCTATTCGCAGTAAATGATTAACAAAGTATGTCAACCATATGGCATATAAAATGGTAACGTGTGCTAAGGAAAAGAAAAATACAGACGTATGTTAGAAATGTAGAGGGGAATTTTAGAAAGCATAGCCAGAGATTTCCATACTGAAAAGGTAGTATTTGGGTCAAAATCTGGAAGAATGATATAGAGCCAGCCAAGTGGGTACCAAATGAAAGAACATTCCAGGCACAGAAGCCAGCAAGTACAAAGTCTGAAGTAGAAGTCTGCTTGTTAGATCAGTAAGAGGCTAAGCACGTGAGACAGAGACAGAGGAAGATAAGCAATGGGGGGCGGGGTAGAACACACAGGCCCCTGGGTAGCCTATGACAGATGTGCAAATGTGACACATTTCTCCAGGAAGTTATTATGGAGAGTCTAGGATAAAAGGTATGAGATGTGGCGTACTGCAATGGCTTCTGACTGATGCACCAAGTGAGGACCCAAAACAGCAGAAGCAGGGAGAACAGCCAGGAAACTGCCAGAATACAGATTAATTGTGGAGGCCTGGACCAAGTGGTAACAGCCAAGAAGGTAGTAAGTGGTCAGGCAAGGATTCGCCTAAGATGGAGGCAGGGTGCAAAGAGTGAGACCTAAGGACAGTGATACCTAAGGACCTAAGGACCTCAGGTTCCGACTACCGCACTGGAAGAGTAAAGTTGTTGCTAACAATAAGACAAAATCCATAGGAAATACAGATGTCAGATCTACCTCAGAGTGGGACACAGGAAGTTTGAGATCTTTATATAATACCCAAAAGGAGAAGTCCAGAAAGAAATTGGGCTTCAAAGTTATTTATTCAAAGAAAAGCTCTGGGCTAAAGATTAAATTTGGTACCACCAACACATAGATAATATTTGGATAAAATAACTTAGCAAAAGAATAAAGCAACAAAAAGAGAAGATACTCAAGACAGAACCCTAGGACATTATCAACAACTAGAGTTAGGTGAGGTGACAAAGCCACGATGTCCTAAAGATGCAGGACAAAAACCAGGGAAGAACACTACCCTCAAAATCAAGTAGAAAAAGTACTCATCGCGAGTGAGCAAACTGAATCAGGCAGAGGAAGACTGCTAAGAACCTTGCAATTCAGCAACAATGGTGCAAGAGAGCAAAAAGGGTTCCAGATATATTTTTATAACTACGTATTTTGTTGTCAAAGGAGAGAAAGAAATAATGTCAGTGACAGAAGGGGAGTAGAGGTGGGAGAGCACGGTGCTGGCTGTGGGAATGATTTAGAAGAGGTGTGGGGGTGCTGGAGGAGAGGAAGTGAAGACTACAGCAGCCTGGGTCCTCAGCTAGGAGCACCGTGAGTGCAGCCTCTACAGAACACACAACAGACAGGCAGGTGGACAGCAGGAGCTGGCCAACGCTCTCTTCTGACTGCTTCAGTCTTGTTAGTGCTCTAGGAAGTGAGGTCTTGCTAGTTTAGAGGAAGTGATATCAGGGTGAAAAAGTGGACCACAGATGAACTATGACTAGTGGACAGTACTAAGGACTTCCCGAGATCAGTAGTCTAAAGTGAGCAGTAAATAGCATTGTGCTTTTCTTCAACATCTTCCAAGTGGGGGGCTGGAGAGATGGCTCAGAGGTTAAGAGCACTGGCTGCTCTTCCAGAGGTCCTAAGGTCAATTCCCAGTAACCACATGGTGGCTCACAACCATCTGTACTAAGATCTGGCGCCCTCCTCTGGCGTGCGGGCATACATTGAGGCAGAATGTTGTATACATAATAAATAAATACATCTTAAAAAAAATCTTCCAAGTGTATTAGCACAGGCTGGGAATGAAGTGCACAGAAGGCTATGCGTACTGTGACTCTCCATGGAATCTAAACTGAATAAAGACAAGCAAGACCCAGGCAGGATTAGGGAAAGTGAAGAACGTGCCAGATGTTAAAACCAGAGGACACAGAAACCTGGAGAGATACGAAGGCAGCTGAGAGAAGAAACTGAGACTGAGAGGACAGCTTTGCAGTTGTCTAAAAACGAGGCCCACACATGGACAGAAAGCTGGGCAGAAGGCACTCTGAAGAAGTGTAGTTCCAGGTCTGAAGATATAAGGCTATGGAATGTTGTACGTGAAAACCCCAAAGTCCCCAAGAACTTTTACACATGCAGTCCTGTACTGAATACTAGTGAGTAAGAAGCAACTCTGAAGAGTCCACAGATTTTAGGTTTGTACAATCCTGTGAACAGAGGTGACTGCTATCTGTGTCTAGGACTATCTTTTCAAATCTGTCACACTGACAAACAGTCTTGGAAAAATAGTGTCTTCCTTTACAGCAAAGTTTAAGTTTACTTTTTCCCTTAAAGAGAATCTCATTCTCCCCAGAGCAGACATGATTTACCCACTATAAAGAAAGTCAGCTCCCAAGTGTGGGGTCCCCCACCCATGTGATGAGGTACAGGCATCACGTGGCTCCTTCACAGCATCCTCTGAGACGAGAACTAGTGCAGGCAATTGTTAGTGTGGATCGGGGTGTTTTCCGGATAACGCTTCTGCTGTTAGTAATGCAAGAAGTCTACGTCTCATCTTTTGCTGCCATTCTTTATACTGTAGGTCAACTTAACAACTTAGCTTGCAAATGGAGGACAATCTCAAAGCCTTGACAGTTGTTGACAAAATCCCCAAGGCATGGGAGGTAGAAAGAGATAATAAATGACTAAATTCAGGCTAGTCTAATAATAGGAGATGAAATCTAGAGAAGGAAATATGCTGGAAGAAACAAATACATGTCTAGGCTCAATAAAATGAAAAAGCACACATGCACACACACAGGTACACACACACACACAAGCACACACACAACCTGTTGAAAGTTGAAGGCAGTAATAAAAAAGCAAGATTTAATTTAAAACATCAAAGAAGTATTAACAGATGAGGTTCAAAACATCAGTTTTCTTATGAATGACCTTCAGTTCTATGGACACACTACAAAAGCTTTTCAGAAGCCCGGGAGAGTTAAGTCTTCAGGGTTAGATTTGGACATATGCAGAAAGACTCAAGAGTCTTGGGCTCCTTGTAGTAACTCACACGAACAGAAAAGGCATGACAAAATTAGTTGTAATTAGTCCTAAACAGATTAGTTTCTCCATCCCTTAATATGGTTTGAACTGGATCATGAGGGTACTGTCTTTCTAGATGAAATAATCTACTTACAAGTTCATAGCTAAACAGTCTACCAAGAGGTGGAACCTAGCTGGAGGAAAGGGGCCACTGGAGGTGTCTTTGAAATGTTCATCTTGTCCCTGGCCCTTTTGCTTCCCAACTGCCACGAGGACAACAGCACTCCTCTGCCATGCTCTTCCGCTACGCTACTGCTTTGCCACGACATAATGCAATGGGATGGAGCAGCTGGCAGACTGAAACTTCAGAACTCTGAGCCAAAATAAATATTTCCCCTAAAATGATTTATGTCAGGTAATATGTGACAGCGTACCCACCTGATAACTATGGAACACTTATCAAGCAAACCATCATTTTATAGAGTTTGAGTCTTAAATTTACAAAAATATAATCAAAATAACTAATTAAAGGTAGTTAAGATCTAACTGTTAACTTACTTGAATTAGGTCTAAAATGCCAAGTTCACTTTCTGAGGAATCCACACAGAAGACAAAATATAGTGTTGCATAATGTCTATAAATCAGCTTGTTGTCAGAGCCTCCGATTAATCTAAATGACAAAACAAAGTAATTAAAATGGTGGAGAACAAAATGCAGAACATTTCATTAGTTCAAGCAAAACGGCATTTGTTAAGACCTTTTGTAAAACAGAATGTAACAATGGCATAGCGTTCAAGTAAACTTCAGAAGCTAAGTAGATTAAGACAGCAATTTTCTTCAGAAATGTCAAGTAAAAAAAAAAGCCAGTACTTAATTTTAGTTAATTATTCATTAAAGTATTCACTGAGTTAAGTGTGGTGTGTCAGGCACTGATAGCAGGTAAAGAGACGAGAAAGTCAACAGGTAGGGAAAGGTGCCACACAGAGAACCAGGGCAGGTCTAGCACATCCATGAGCTTCCCACTTCAGAATGGACAGAGAGAGAGAGAGAGAGAGAGAGAGAGAGAGAGAGAGAGAGAGAGAGAGAGAAACATTTAAACTGACATCTAACCAATAGGGTGACCCAAGGAACAATGAAGAGTCAGGTAGCAATGGCTGAAAAGGGCTTTTTGTCACGACAATATGCACTTTCAGGGAGACATGAGGCCAGTAGACAAGAATAGGTTAGTAAACAATGAGGCTGAAGGAAGAGGCAAACCAGATCACAAAGCATGTGCAAATGCTTACAAGATATAACTTCATAAGTCACAGTAAAATACACAGCTTAAGACTGATTATCAGCTAGGAAAAAAAAAGAGTATTTCTTAAGTTTTAGACAGACTTAGCATCAAGATGCTCTCCAAAAACACTGCTCTTAAATCTAAATGTAAGAACACTGGGCTAATGAATGCTCAATTCTTTCATTAAATTCTTTTATTCATATGACTAGAATTTAGCATTTTTAAAAGAATAATTTAGGAATTATCTGAGGCATCTTCTATTTTTCCAAATACACTTTAGCTGTATAATGGTCAAGTTTATAATACCAAATTCACCTTCTCAAGACCACTTCCACATTAATATGATTTAAAACAAGGTTATACACAATCAAAATTAAGAGATTATCCACAAATATGGTATGACATTTTTCTTAGTCCATAAATATAACACTAAACTTGCAAGCTCTATAGAAACAACTTCTAAGTACATACTACTTCCTTGTCCTGTAAGAGCAAAAACAAATTATATGGGGGGGGGGGGTGTCCAGGGGAGGATTCTTAGTATGCTACGTTACTTGTCCAGAGAGGATTTAATTTAAAAGTCTGTATGTACACTTTGAACATTCTGACATTGGTTATGACAACAGTTACAAATTATTCCCTGAAAGGGGAAAACAAACACATCAGCTATTTTACTCTAAGTTGTCTTTTGTTTTGCTTTAAAAGACCATGCTTCTGAAAATGTGTTACAAATTAGATTCATGCTCAGAGAAACTAAGGACCTGTGCAAAGCAAGAACATAATTGGCCTTGAAAAACATAATTTCACTTTAAACCAGTCTAATACTATACAAGTTATTGTTTAAGTTGTCTTAGTCAGGGTTTCTATCGCTATGATGAAACACCATGACCAAAAGTCAAGCTAGGGAAGAAAGGGTTAACTTGGCTTACATTTCCACATAGAAGTCCATCACTGAAGGAAATCAGGACAGGAACTCAAACAGGGTAGGATCCTGGAGGCAGGAGCTGGTACAGGGGCCTTGGCTGCTTACTGGTTTGCGGCAAAAGGCCTGCTCAGACTGATGTGTTATTGAGTCCAGGACCACAGCCCAGAGATGGCACCACCCACGGTGGGCTGGGCCTCCCACACTGATCACTAATGAAAAAAAATTACTTTCTGCTGAATCTTATGGAGGAATTTTCTCAGTATCTCCTCTCTGATGATTCTAGTTTGTGTCAAGCGGACTAAAAAGTATACAGTACAGAGGTGAAATGCAGAATGTAAAATTTTATAAACATAAGTTTCTAATTTTTGACATCTTCTTAGACCTAATATTTCATTTTAGAGGAGAAAACGAAGTTCCAAGAATTTGAACAATCTGACCAAGGAACTGGCTAACCAGGACCAAAACTAGAATGAGGATGGATGAACAGCTTCATCTCTGGCACAGTAAGTAACTGTCTCCCATTTTTATATGATTAGGGAAGAATGTCAATTTCAAAGCCTAATTTCCAACCAAACAGGGCCCTCTTTATAGCTACCATGTGAAACACCCTGCACCTGTGGGAGGTGAGACGCCTGTGAGATGGTAAGAAGCTAAGAGAGAAGCAATGACTATGGCAAAGACGACCAGATTCCCACAGAGCTTAAACAAAAGCACAAGTGGCCCTGCTCATTAAGTTAGAGTCTGGAGGGGCTTAACACCAAAATCTACACATCATAAACATGTATTACATGTTTAAGTACAGCATGATATAACTTTTTAAAATGCAAATAAACTTTCTACATGATTAAAAAAATATGGTCAGACAAAAATGGGTTCTGTTGCCCTGATTTTTTTTTTACAATATGCATCTTATCATTCATGTGACTTTGCTGATACTTAGTTTTAATTCTCAATAAGAACATATTAAGTGTACTAATTACATAACTGGGGAAGAAAACATTTTGAGGTAAACTGCTGTCAATAGAACCCATTCATTTTAAAGGATTTACTTAGAGCTTGGGATGAACATGAGTAGGAAATCACTTGCCTAGCAAGCACAAAGCCTTGGGTCTAATTCCCAGTGCTGCAAACAATGAAAAAGAAAAAATAAATATCTACAGTATTTATTTGGTTTTCAAACTAATTTTTTCATTTTTAAAAACAGAAACATCTACTAGTTGAATTTATACTAGGGATATATTAGATTCATAGATATTTGAAAAGTAGACTTTGACTTTGTTTATAATAAAATAAAGCATATGATCTGAAATTTTACGTGCATTCAAACTAGGAATACTACACCCATTAGAAAGAATGATCTCCCAGAATTTTTAAAAATGTATTACACTTATTTGTGTATGTGGATGCACATACGACAAATGACAACTTGTGGGAATAAGTTCTCTCCTATGTGGGTCCTAGGGATCACATTCAGGTCATCAGGGCTGGCACTCAGAACCTTTGCTAGGTAAGTTCTATTTCTCCAGATGAATTTACAGGCAAAAGTTTACAAAGTATTAAGCAAAAAAACGCAACATGCAAGTAAACACTGTGATCTCATAAGTAAAATATTTTAAGGCTCTATTTTTATGTCAGTAAACATAAAATGCACAAGAAACTGGGTGAAAGGACTAAGGCTGGGAGGGGAAAATGTTTAGAAAGACTGAGTATCTTAAAAAGTCTACAGATTAGAGTTATGCCTAACAGTGATAGCAATTAATTCACCGAATTTAATGAATTACAATGAAGGATTTTCATCAAGTACATACTCTCACCACACACTGGAAATCAGAAATACCCACGAAAAGCTCTACTTACAATCCTCCTTCTAGGAAATTACACACATTCTCATCTCGCTTCGACACCAAATGGAAAGTCTCCCTGATGATCTGCTGTTGCGTATCTTCACTCTGAGAAAGAATAATTCACATGCGTTAGGATCGAGTTTTCAGGTTTAACAGCATTGCAAGATATTTTGAAAATAAAAGATAGTAATTGTAATCTGGAAACAAAAAGGGGAAAAGGTCCTTGGGAATTAGATTCAAACTACAGAGGCAAAACCCAACATTGTTAGATAAAAGTGTGGGTGGGGAGCCTCATTATAATTTACCACTACAATGAAAGTAACATATTTCTACCTTCAAAACTGAATGAGAAACAGAACACTCAGACACACTGGTGAAAAAGGAAAGTAGATATCAGCTAGTCAAAGATGCTGCTTTTCAAATGGCTAAAGTAAGCAGGGAAGTAACGTTAGGTAACTCATGGAGCTATAGTAAGTAATATTTAGTGCAGGGACAATAGAGAAACTTGAGTTTACAGGTAAATTGAACCTTGGTAGAATACAGATTGAGGTTATGAGTCCACCTTATTCATCTTTATGTAGACCAGATCCCAAACCAAGAATTGGCTCCGTAGATATTTTCTAAACTCAACCAAGCAATTCCTATCCCAGTAAAAAAAGAGGCACTTTCCCAAGTCATTCAAAATGTAAGCAAAATCATGAGCAGAAACTTCACAAGAAAGAAAGATGTTCCATAGACAAATATAAAGACGCTAAGCCTCAAAGTAATCCAGTGACATTCAGTTAAAGTAACAATGGCAACACTCTAAGGAGCCACACTAGAATAGGCATGAAATAGCACAAAACTTCAAAGCACAGAAACTCTCAGCCCACCAGTGTGAGGGTAAAGGGCACTAGCATTTCACAAGTTTCATTCACCAACACTTTTACTCCCTATACTCTTCTAACCCTATGAAGTCAACCTTTGAGGTCAGAAACAACTATCAGCAATGGCATACATATAAAACTCTTAATATGTCCAACAGGAAAGCACTTATAAAATGACTTTTTTAAAAGCTGAAATAATCCAAATATCCTCCATTCACAGAACAGATAAATTGGAATATGGTCTTATCCTTAAACATTTAAATTTCCAAATCATAATGGGAAAAATTAAAGAGCCTTGATTCAATCTGTCGCAACAGCAAGAGGCAGACTGAATAGCCTACGTAGAACTGTTTATTTTTGACAGGTCTGGGGGCTACAAGTCCAAAATCAAGATACCAGCAGTTCTCTGTCCTCATGCAGCAAAGAAAGAGGGCAGCCCCTTAGGAAGACACTAGCCCCACAAGAGGGCCCACGGACCCACTCTCATGCCCTCATCTAAACTCAATACTTTTCCAATCTGCAGAAACCATTCCACTGGAGTTGGAGCTCCAACACGGGAACCTGGAAGAGACACACGTCAGTCCCCAGCTGAAATAGAAAGGGCAAGTAGCACAAGGACACATAACCATTCCATTAGCATAAAATTCAACTAAGCAACACTAAACATTGCTTAATACCATATATTACAGGAAACAGAAACAAAACTATTGCCAGCAATACTGACACATGTCTGCAATGCAAGGATGTAGGAGGCTGAAGCAAGAGCGCTCGAATTTCAAGACAACGCTGGTCTACATGGACAGTCAGATGATAACCTGGTTACACAGTGAGACTTCATGTCAAAGAAAAACATAATTAAACTATAAGAAAATCAAAAAGATGAATAACAAATACTAGAGGATTGGTTTCACAAATATTATATTCTATAATCACATTACAACTAGGTAGAAAAAAATCAACAATTAAATGCAAGTTATTTTAGTTTTCAATCAAACTTTTAATGAATAGATAATAAAACAATAGTTTCTCATCTCTGTACATAAAGACTGCAAGCTTCTGAATTGAGAGGTCAGTCCTAGGTAATGACTCCTCTGTGACACCGAAGGCTGCTCAGCAGCAGCTCCAACCTTAACCCTCAAACTAGAGAAGTGAACTCAATGTGCCTGCACCCTCCCCTGCTCTGGGAAAGGTGGAAAAGTAGGGCAAGATCCCTCTTCCAACTCCAATTAAATGAAATAGATATGCTTCTGGAGGTACTTGCAGATGGGATGGAACCCAACCTGGGGCCCCTGGAGAAAGAGATAGGCAGGATACAAGGAGGCTCCCCTCAGCACCTGGCCCCACAGGGCTCCTTCAGGTGGAGGAGGGGAGCTCTAGGATCTCTCTTTGATCCAAGAGAAGTCTGTTATGCAGTATTTTAAGATCAATAAATTACAGCAATAAAAAGCAAGGTAGGATAAAGGGATTTCCTATTTGAAAGTTTAAGTGGGGTGACATCTCCACTTCCTAGAGAGCATCCTAGGAAGGGGGTTTGGGGCATCCTTAGCTGCCACAGCTTCCAACCACCTCCAGTTTATGATGTCAGACTGGACTGAGGCTTGGGTCAGATCCTTCTCCATCCCACATTCCTGGTCTCCACTTCACAGGTTCAGCAGTGCTAACCCCATCACGGCTGGGAAAAAGGACGACCTTGGACACTGGGCACAAAAGAACTTCGGCGCATATCCGCTCTAAAACCAGGTTCTTAAAAAAGAGAAATTAAAAAGCACTAATATAAACCCAATCAAGAGAAAGACCTAAAAAACTATTTCTTTTCAGTCTTTTCAGAGATGGTTCGTGTGTGTGTGTGTGTGTGTGTGTAAGCTACCAAATTCAGCAAAGTGGAAACATATACAATTAACACACAAAAATTCCTTCCATACCATAAACATCTTCCAAATTTACTTTCGAACTCCCTATGGAGTTTTCGCACCTGCTGCTTCTCCCCACCCACGCAGATCAGGCACAGTGAATGCTCACTGCTCTCTTCGGTTCCCTGCCTCTGTCTCAGAACACCGTTTTCACCCACTTGATAAAGCTGTTCCAGCCAATGGCTTAGCAGAGGAAAGCCATGCAGGAAATCTGAACAGAGGCATAGAGAGAAGGCAGAATACAGGGAAGCTGTGTAACTGCCCAATGAGGAAGACACCACCAGACCCTTACTAGTAAGCCACAGCCTCGTGGTGATATATACTCAGATTAGTAGAAATGGGTTAATTTAAGATTCAAGAGTTAGCTAGGAATATGCCAGAGTCTTTGGCCAAACAGTGTTGTAATTAATATGGTTTTGTGTGATTATTCGGGTCTGGTGGCAGGGAAACAAAAGCACAGTCTCTGCTTACACCTTGGTATCATTCCTACTCCTGTTATACACTTAAAATAACATATTTGAACTTCCTTTGTAGATTCCAACAGGATCTGAGCTCTGTATCTGAAACACTCGGGAGAGATGTAAACTACGAAACAAGTACAATTCAGAAATTAAGAAGGATATCATGAAAATTGTAACACAAGAAATTTTCAAATTCCAGATATAAACTAGAAAAAAAGCTTGAGGAAAATGCCTATAGAAGAGGTTGGAGGCATAGAAGAAAAGAAAACATTTTAAGAATTTACAATAGTCTAGAAGAATCAAGAATTAAAGACTCAGAATAAAGAGAAGGACCGAGGATATAGCTAACTCTGTGATAGCCCTTGCCTAGCACACTCAAGGGCCCTAGGTTTAATCCCTGCATCAAAACAGAACACAAAGAAACCAAGAAATGATTCCAGTAGACAATTAGAGCTTCCAGAATAATAATACCTGATAGAGTATCCCACGCTATGGACGCAAACAGTCTCACAGCAAGGAACTCTAAGACTTTAAAAACAGAAGTCTACACATTCTTAGTAAGTCATAAAGTCATCATACACAGAAAGGGAACAGCCAGAATTACTACAGACTTTTTGAAAACCAACAATGGAAACAGAAAGATGGCACAGCATGCAATCATGAAGATTAGAATTCTAGATCTCAATGTACTTATTAGTAAGACTTTCAGAACAGCAAGCTCTCATAAAATCGACTTCTTGTTACACTTTACTCAAGAAGTTGCTGGCTCTACCATGATAAGACAACAGACAAAGAATCAAGCAATTGAAGATCTAACAGAGAAAACAGCCAAGAGGAATCTCGCAGATAAAGTCCAAACATGACTGCTAGGCAACTGGCAGAGACTGATCCTAGCCAAAAGGTTCCAGAAGAGATTTCTTAATGAACAGGAAACTGACAGACACATGCTGGCAGAAACATAAATTAGAAATAAGTAAATAAAAAAAACTAGCTCAAAGGAAAAGCTATTATCTTCGAGGAAGATAAATGTCAGAAGGAAAAAAAAACTAAACAAAATTTACAACCTGGCTCAGCTGAGGATGGCCTACATAAAAAACTAATATGGGCACTGAGGACTGACATAGTCTGAAGTACAAAATAGCTTTGAGGGACTGAGACTTGGATGCTGTAAGTCAGAACTAAGTGATTATTTCCAATAAGAGAATAGGTCATGTCTACAAGTGAAAACTTAGCCAAAAGCACATTATTTACACAATGCCGTGATAACCAGATAAAAGTAGTCACCTTGGGAAAGGAGATATAAGGAAAGGCTTTTTATTTTTATTTTTGAGATATTAATTTGATTACAACATTTCTTCCTTCCTTTCCTCCCTCTGAACCTTCCCATATACCTCTCCCAGCTCTCCTTGAAATTCAGTCTCTTTTTTTACTGTTATTGCATGCATATATGTATACATACATATATTTCTAAATACAACCTGTTCAGTTGGTATAATGCTACCTGTATTTTCAGGGCTGGCCATTTGCTACTGAACAACAAATTGGTGAGCTCTTCCCTGTGGATGGTCATCGTTCCTGTTATCAGTTTTCCTCTATTGCTAATAGCTCTTTCTGCAGGGCTGAGACCTCATGGGCTTTTCTCTGTCCAGTTTGGCAGTTCATTGATGTCATCCTTCTTTAGCTCACATCTGCACAACCATGTTGGTGAGACTTTATGGGTGTAAGCTTCTGATATAATTAGGAAACACAATCTTGCAGCAAACTCCCTGATTTCCTGGTTCTTACAGTCTTTCTGAAAGGTTCCCTGAACTTTAAGAGTAGAAGTGTGTTGTAGATGTAGCCATTGGAACTGGACTCCACAACTCTGC